TGGTGTCTAAATTTAACAAATAAATAAATATATAATTCATTCAATTACTAATAAACTTCGGTGCTGTTTGCTTTTTTAAAATCAGTCAAAGTTGGCTAGGACGTACCATCTACCTAATTCCAGAAAAGGAAGAAAAAGACAAAGAACTTTTCCATGCAATCAAGGCCCAAATGAAAAATTTCCTAACATTATTGAAAATCAAAGAGCAACCAAGATACATTCTTGATGTCTCTGAGTTCAACTTTAAACACTGTTTGAATAAATGCAATAAATCAGTATTTCCTGGAAGATCTTTTCTTTGAATTTTTTTTTCAAGCTGATTAGCATCCTCCATATTCTCTAATTATTACAACGTATTCTATTTTGAACTTGCCTGTATCCACAAACAACCAATGTTCATATAAACTACAAAAAAAAGTTAAAATAACAAGTCATATCTTGTGGCTATTTACCTATTTCAAGAAATGGCTAGAGGCTAGAAAATAAGGTTTATTTGAAAATGTTATTCTGCAATAGACATCACTACACAACTTCTAATAGCTAATCAACATTTCCCTCACTGAACATGATTTCCCACTTTCCCTAACGCATTTTGCAAGAAATATTTTTAAACTAGCTTCCACGAATCTAGGTACTTTTCTAGGTACAATTAAGTATGGTGTTTAACTGTCAGAATTTTAATTCTGAGGATGCTCAAAATTGTTATTTTTCTCCTTGAAACAAATACTGTTCTGTGTTTATGGGAAATGATTGAGAATATTCATTTCATTTTTTAAAAAACATTAGCCACTTTTCTTCTTCTTTGCATAATCGTTCTAATGGCCTCTTGTAGTACTATTTACTATTTACAAACTCAAGGACAGGGTATATGAAAAAGAATACCGGTATTCTACAAGAAGGCTGCTATTTGGCTTGTTCTCTTAAACTGCGCATGTGATTTATTAACCTCAACTATGACATACAGTACAACAGCATATAAACAAACTGGAAAACATCTTGAAAGAGGTACTAATGAAAGTGTTGCTGTTTTGATATTAAAACGAAAACTTGAGAATATTGAAAAATATCTAAGTTTCCCAGTTAGTATTTTTGTACAATATAGCCTGAAGGACTGCAAGTGCAAATAAGGCCGCAGATAATGGGTTTTATTCCTATTTTTATATAAAGATATCAGACAGGCAAAAAGCTCTATCCTCTTTGGTTGGCTACATGAGGGTAGGAACAGACATTCCAAAAGTAAAAGTTACTGAGAACAGGCTTTTTATCATGGCGGCGGGATAGTATGAAGATGCTGTAAGTTACCAGAGGGAGAAAAACGAAACACATATATTTTTTTTTCACATGAATATGAAGAGCAAGTAACAGCACACCAGTGCGAGAAAAGTAATCGAAGCACACAGAGATTAAATAATAAGCAGGATAAGAGCCGAAAGGACGTGACTTTTAAATCGAATGAGCCAACTGATTTAATAAATGTGATCGTCTTATTACTCTGGAGGCTCATTTCCGAAAGGACTCTTACAGCTATGCCTTTACATTACATTCATAGACAGACCACACATATCTTTTGTCCTATGAGAAGCTTTTTCTGACGATTTCTGCGTCAGCGACCCCCACCCCCACAAACTTTCTCATTCTGCTTTGGCGGAAAAAGTGAACTAGAAAGACCGCAAATCCCTTCCCCCCCCCCCCGCCAAAAAAAAAGCCAGGCTCACAGGATTCACTCTGCAGGGACTATCAGTCCTGGGAGAAGATCCCGAGATGGAAGATTTCACCGAAAGGCAGATCCGAAAGGCAGATTGTCAAGCGAATTTGGCGGGTCGGGATGAGCACGAAGGGATTACTGTACTCACCGATCCAGTCCCTCCCCACACCGGGCCTCTGTCATTCCCCACCCTTTCCCTCCCCATTCAACTCTGCCAGGAGGCAATGATATGTCCCGGACTCTGCTTCTTCTCGCCGGGAGACTCAAAGGCAGCCAACAGCGGGCCTTTTGCCCACATTCATGTTAGCTCCGGGAGCTTCAATTCCCGTAGCTAAGATGAAGGGCTTGTTGCGGAAAAGGGTCACATGACGATCCGCGTACCCTGTGAGCAGGCGGGAACTTGGGTCGCGCTCGCCTTTGGGGAGGGATCGTCCCCTTCGAGCCTCGGTCGGGCATTGTGCTGGAACTGAAGGCAGACAGTCTGGTTTTGTTGCCGTTTGGTTTGTAACCTTCCTCTTTTCCGCAGTAAAGTGTTATGATGAGGGTGAAGGTTCGAGCTTGTGGGTTGGTTTCTGAACGTTTCGTTATGTCGGTGCCATCCCCTAAACTTCTTGAAGATGTTATCTAGCTTCGTAACGAAACGTTCAGAAACCAACCCACAAGCTCAGAGAATGAACCTTCACCCTCATCCTACACCCGAGCTACAGATACCCGCCACTATTGCAAAGTGTTATGAGTTACGGTGCTGTGCAATCGATACGGCTGAGCGGCTTTTTTTTCTCTCGCTTACCTCCCAATACTGGAAAATGAGTGTCTTCTAGGATTCTGACCAGCGTCGCCCTTGAATACAATTCGGCATTGTTCTTTATCCTCATTTAACAGCATTATTCCTTGCCTTCCGTGCTTGTCTTAATTATGACATGGGATTATAATCTTTTTTTCACTCCCGCAAGGGCTTCAGATTAACAGTTTTAATCAGAATTCCCACAAGGATTCCTACAGACATGAGAATGCACATTTGAGATATACAACCGAAATGTATTAGTCCTTTCGTACACTGCACGAATTATATACGTTTCTAAAGAACTTTAAACGGTTGACTGTTCCGAATTAAAGGCAATCAAGACTTCCCTTCCCGCCGGAACCGCAGAACATCCGCCTATCTCCGGGCACTAATAAGACTCAGCTTCAATCACGTGCTCAATTTCCCAAGCTTTTGAATCAAGCATCGCGAGAACAGAAACTTCTCACTTCGATTTTTCCAATCTCCCGATTGAGAAAGTGGACTCTCGCGTTACTGTATATATCTTTGCTTCAGGACCTCTCGCGATATTTCGGAGTTCTGGGAGCAGATACTTCGGGGGCGGCGACACTGGACGAAGATGGCGGACGAAGCGGGTAGCAACGGGGACGCTTCAGCCTTACCGGTGGGAAAGGAGGCAGGTGAGGCTGGGGTGGTTCTGCCTTGCTGTTGCGGAGGACCGGTGTCTTGTACCTTATCTTCCTACCTGTTCCTATAAGCGTACAGTATTGCGTCAAAAAAGTAGGACTTGGGGATGATTGTTGGCCATTACCCCTTCCCCGCGCTCTCAGGCGGGGCTTCAGGATTGGGACGGTTGCTGATCCTTCCCCCGCGTATCAAACGTGCAGAACGGGCGCCGCTCAAAACGTGCTTCCCCACGCGTGGATTGCTCTCTGCCTCCTCCGAAGGTGCTTCACAACATTTCCAGCTCTTTGTCAAGCTGAGCTCCGGAGACTTGTTTACATTCGGTACTGGCGACAGCCCGCAGACACGAAATTCGTGGACACTTTTGAGATTAAACAAAAATTAGTTATGACAAGAAGTCGGAAATCTGATTATTTGAGTCAAAACTTAACGCTCAATCTGTTACTTGTTAAGATGGTGTAAGAGTGCACCGTTTCCATTGTACTAGGGGAAACGGCACTCTTTGTCCACAACTTTAGAACTAGTGTCTCAGGAAGTTTAGTGGTGTGATGAGAGAAACGTTCTTTCCCTGTGGTTTATAACGTCCTCCCTCCACCTGGGATCTTCCAGAAGAGTGAACCTGTGAAACTTCATCATCTCCAGCGAATAATGGCCATGATAGCTGATGCTGATAAGAATTATAATCCAAACAGGGATAAAAGCTACCTTATATATTTATAATCTTTTCTAAATCAATAGAGCACAGTGAGTCAATTTTGTGGTTCGTTTATTGCTAGTCCTGGCATTGGGTTTTATCCTACTTGATATATTGCCCCCCTCATTGTAGATACTGTATAAGCCGAACTTCCAGAATGAAATCCCAAAAGAGGTTTTCCCAAATTGTTGCTCTTTAAATGTGTCAGATTACAACATATATTGGAGAGATATGTCTTATCCCTAACTTCTGGAAAGCGCTGTGTTGTGCTAAAAGGAATGGAAAGTATGATAGATATTTTAACAGGTCATAAATTAGAAACTGAAAGAGTTACATTGAAAAGGTGATTTCTGAAAACTTAAGAGACTTGTTACTTGGTAAAGAAATAGTATTACTCCAAATGGGCATTTTTTCCTGCCAATGTTCTTTGCAGGCTTATCATAGAAGAATGCTAATAACTTACGGGGAAATCTCTTTACATCACAGATGAATCAGTAGTGAGGACACATCTAATAATAGTTAAGCACATGTAGTAATAGCTACAGATTATGCCCCTTGGCTGACAATCTATGGGTATGTTGCCTGTTCTAGAACATTATGGATCTGATTTGATTTAGATAATATATAAATCTGGAATAGGCAACCTTTTCAGGGCCAAGTCTTTCATTTAATCTTTCATCACACACTAGAATCAAAAAGTAAATGTAGAGGTGGTACCAAATCAAAGAAGGATGGATAGATTACTATGGTAATTTAGTTATCAGGAAGTTTAAGTGGGAAAAATGAAATAAAGCAATTTGTAGAAAGATGGTAATTATGCGGTGATGCAGTAAATGCAGAAATGTAAAGGTTAGTTGTACCTGATGCTATGTTTTCTCAGTTAGAGTTGCCAATTTTCAACCTAGAAATCTTTTCATCTCTTTAAATGATGCACTTAATGCTACTGATATATTTTAAATGCATCTTGCTTAGTTACCAAAGATGGAGCTGATAGTGAAAATTTAACTTTACCTCTTCTAGGAAGAAGATCTCAAGACTTCTTCCTATGTCGTGGAGGAAACTCCTTCATTTCATTCTTTAGTTTTGTTGACTAGAAGAAGCAGTGACTTTTCTCTTAGTGTTACATTGAGGACTGCAAAGACAAAGGAAAGAATTCAAGTCATAGCTGAAGTTTCACAAATCATAAATATTTGGTACCAGCACTGCAATGGAAAGGACTTTGGCAAGTATGGCAGATGAGCACACCAAAAACAGCTACAGTAGAAAAGCCATTTGGAGACTAAGAATTAAAGTAAGAGAATGCTGGGGCAAAAATGATATTACAGCTTCATAGATCTAGATTTGAGCAGACCCAAGAACACTCACACCTGCATCAGTCAGAGGTGCTTTTAGGTAGCAAATGAGTAGTGGACAAGTGCCAGGTTTCTTCAACTATAACAACCCTCTGGCAGCCTCTCATTCTCCACAAGTGGGATACAAGGTGATCTAAATGAGCACTGGATTACACTAATATTAGTGACCTTCTGGCATCTGAACCATCCCTTGATGAGACTAACAATACTTACTTTCTGTGGGTTTGGGTGTGCATTGCTGATTCTGATTAGCTGGTGGATTACCAACTAGGAGCCTACAACTCAGTTAAGCATTAATTCGTTAAAAAAATATTTGGAATATTTGTTAATTCCATTCTAATAGAAAACAAGAAAAAAATCCTTCAGCCCTTGTGAAGGAGGAAAGTATTAAAGAAGACCAACTTAATAATAATAATAAAGTTGGAAGGGACCTTGGAGGTCATCGAGTCCAACCCCCTGCTCAGGCAGGAACCCTACACCATTTCGGACAAATGGCTGTCCAGTCTCTTCTTAAAAACTTCCAGTGTTGGAGCATTCACTGCTTTTGGAGGCAGGTTGTTCTATTGGTTAATTGTTCTAACTGTCAGGAAGTTTCTCCTTAGTTCTAAGTTGCTTCTCTCCTTGATCAGTTTCCATCCGTTGTTTCTTGTCCTGCCTTCAGGCGCCTTGGAGAATAGCTTGACTCCCTCTTCTTTGTGGCAGCCCCTGAGATATTGGAACTCTGCTATCATGTCCCCCCTTGTCCTTCTCTTCGTTAAACTAGACATACCCAATTCCAGCAACCGTTCCTTATATGCTTTAGCCTCCAGTCCCCTAATCATCTTCGTTGCTCTTCTCTGTACTCTTTCTAGAGTCTCAGCATCTTTTTTACTTCGTGGTGACCAAAACTGATGCAGTATTCCAAGTGTGGCCTTACCAAGGCATTGTAAAGTGGTATTAATACTTCACGTGATCTTGATTCTATCCCTGTTAATGCAGCCCAGTTTTTTGGCAGCTGCAGCACACTGCTGGCTCATATTTAAGTGATTGTCCACTAGGACTCCGAGATCCCTCTCACAGTTACTACTATTGAGCAAGGTACCCCCTATACTATACCTGTACATTTGGTTTTTCTTGCCTAAATGTAGAACCTTATTTTTTTCACCATTAAATTTCATTTTTTAGATAGTACCCAGTGTTCAGTCTGTCCAGGTCCTCCTGTATCTTAAGCCTGTCTTCTGGAGTGTTGGCTATTCCTGCCAGCTTGGTGTCATCTGCAAATTTGATGAGTTCCCCATCTATCCCCTCGTCCAAATCATTGATGAAGATGTTGAAGAGCACTGGGCCTAGAACAGAGCCCTGGGGCACCCCACTACACACTTCCCTCCATGTAGACGCGGTTCCATTGAGGACCACATGCTGAGTACGGCCGGTCAGCCAGCTACGAATCCATCTTGTGGTGATGCTGTCTAACCCACATTTTTCTATCTTATCGAGTAATAGGTTGTGATTTACTTTATCAAATGCCTTACTATAGTCCAAGTAAATTATATCCACAGCATTCCTCTGAGCCACTAATTTTGTCACTTGGTCAAAGAATGCAATAAGGTTTGTCTGGCATGATCTATTTTTGACAAACCCATGTTGGCTTGTAGTAATGACTTTGTTTGCCTCTAGGTATTCACTGATTCATTGTTTGATTATCTTTTCCAGAATCTTCCCAGGTCTGTAATTTCCTGGATCCATTTTTTTTCCTTTTTTGAAGATGGGAACGACATCAGCTCTTGTCCAGTTCTCTGGTAGTTCCCCAGTGCTCCAAGATCTTTGAAAAATATAGTTTAGTGGTTCTGAGATCACATCTGCCAGTTCCTTGAATACCTTGTGGTGTAATCCATCTGGTCCTGGTGATTTGAACTCGTCTAGGCTGGACAGGTGCTCACTTATCATTTTCTTGTCTATCTTAACTTGTGTTTCTATACAGTTTTTATGGCACTATTTTTGATAGGTTGGTCTTAATCCTTTTGGCCTAGCGATCTTACCTTAAGCGTTATTTGAGCAAAAAACAGGATAGGGAAATAGTTGCTGGAGTTCTCAGATCCACTAACAAGACATGCTTCCACAAAGATAGAGAAGATGCAAAGAAAATGTTCCTCAAATTAATGCTATCATTTGCCAGGTGGGCAGACAACTGCAAAAAAAAAAAAAAAAAAAAAAAAAAAACTAAGGCAGTTGCATCATGGAGCCCACATGCAGATATAAGTGGGTATTAGAGTCTGCTTGGTGGGGACAGGCTCTTTAATTGACAAGAAAATGGGAGAAGTTGCTTTCACTCACCTTCAAAACCAGGGAGAAGGAGTTATGGATGAAGAAAGCAATGAATTACCTACTGTATATTAGTATGATGGTGTATTCCTGAATTGTCCCCATTAGCTACCAGTCCTGATCTACATTTGTAGGACAGTAACCCAAGCAGACATACGTGCATTCATTTAACATAAAATAGACAAGTTTGAGCCTTCGGGTAAATACTGCTACAGAAGATACTTTAAACTCTATTGACTCCATAGGAATGTGTAGTATACCCATGTCCTATTGGCTCCATCTTCAGTGATCAAGAAAGTAGTAGGCCTTAATTCTGAACTACCTGTCTTGTTACTGAAAGATAGACCTGACAGTCCTATCTTACAAAAGAGGACAGAATCAAGAGTCAATTTAAGAAATTATGGAACCATCAGTTAACAATAGTGTATTTGCTAACTATTTACACATAGTTTGGTTTTCTAATTTTTGTTGTGGGTAGCAAAATGGAACTATACTCAGCTGAAATCATTATGTGCAATTGAAAGGAAAGGACTTTCTTCTGCAGGACAGGAAAAAGGTCTAAAAATTGTGTTCTACCTGGAAGAGGTTGTTGCATACATCTTTTGGTGACCAGAAAGGTACTTTTTCCTAGTGTATTTGTTTTGTTTACTGTGCTAGTTGGATATTTAGTTATATACATATTCTTACATTTATATGGACATGCTTCTTTGCAGTGAGAAAGGCAAAATGTGTTTACCTATTCAATTATTAAAATGTTATTTATATTCTAAGCTCCACCTAGCCAATTATTTTTGTCCTGTTGGTATCATAAAATAGAGCGTAACAGTTGGAAGGAACCTTGGAGGTCTTCTAGTCCAACCCGCTGCTTAAGCAGGAGACTCTATACCATTTCAGACAAATGGTTGCCAATCTTTTCTTTAAAACCTCCAGTGATGAAGCACTCACAATTTCTGGAGGCAAGCAGTTCCACTGATTAATTCTTCTGGCCGATAGGAAATTTTTCCTAAATTCTAGGTTGAATCTTTCTTCAATAAGCTGCAATCCATTACTTCTTGTTCTGCCCTCAAGTACTTTGGAGAATAGATTGACCTCCTCTTCTCTGTGACAGCTCCTCAAGTACTGGAAAAATGCTATCATATCACCCTGATCCTTCTCTTCATTAGCTAATTAGATGGGAAGAGCATATTGTTCCCTTTGCAGTCTCATAGAAAGCTGCTGGGGAGAGGTGACCATAAGTGGACCGTGCAGTTCTTTTGTTCAGTATCATATTTTATAACAATCTTACATTTTAAGAGAAATACCCTCCCAAGAATGTACTGGTGTTCTTCTGTTAATTCATGTTATAGTATAGTTCAGTATAGCTCTTAATAATATTTTAATTCTGTGTTGTTTTAATGCTTTAACTATTTTTTTACTTGTTTTATAACCTGTAAAGTGCCCCAAGTCACCTTATAGGGGAGATGGCGGCATAAAAATTTAATAAACAAATGAAATGAATGCTCAGTCGAATCATATGGGCATAATTGTTTAAGCGTTTTTAATTTCACATCTTAAGTTACATTCTGTAGTTTGCACAGAATCAAATTGGATAATTTCACCTGTAATAATATATGCTAAATATCTATACCTCCAACCTATAGGTTTTCTGCATTTTGCTTACCTAAATTAATATAGTACCATTTGTTATTTAATCAGTATAATGAGTTAGGCCCTTGAAAATGAAAGATTACAAGTTGTCTTCAGTATTAATTAAATGCTTTTTTTCCAAAGCATAGGGCTGGGAAAATGTTATAGTGTAAAAACAGTAAAATCATCGTTGTCTAAATTAAGATTGAAAATATGAGATCTTTCAATTACAGCTGAAATATCGGCTCTTAGAAATACAGTCAACATGATAAATGATGAAGAATCTTGGTCATTGTAATTCAACACTTGGAAGGGTATTACTTTCCTTTCTTACATCTAGGAACTATGGTCCAGTACAGGGGTGTCAAACTGCTGGCCCACGGGCTGGATGCGTCACACTAAAACTGTGCCCACCCCTTTGCTGGCAATGGGAAAAAAGTCGCAATACATCGTGACACATGTGAAGTCAAGAGTTTGACACCCCTGGTCTATGAAACGCTACATGAAGTCATCAAAGTCTATTGACATAGATTTGATACTAAGAAAGGACAGAAATATTTGCAGACATTGTAATTATTTTAGAATACCAGACTTTGTCTCATTCCTTTTAATCTTTTATGTGATAAACATACTGGTCCACTTTGGAACACAATTTAAAGTGTGAATTTAACAGTTCTACATCAGTAATGAGCAGATTTCACAATGATTGGATTGATCTTATTTTTGATAGAATTCAAATTAAGTGTGCTGGTTACAAAATAAAAATAAATTTAAAGCCTAAGAATTTGTCTTAATTATCAGAACATTTCAGTAGGTCCAGTTTACCTTCTCTGTCAATAAGTAAGAGATCTTCAATACTGTCTTTTAAAATGAATTCTTCAGAAAAGATAAGATCCCCTGTAAATAGTTCCTCTGAATCCCAGCCATGAATACACATGGTCTAGTTCTCATCCTCAGCATAAATCAAATCAAAATGGATAAGCACGGGTATTATTCTTCCACGTGCATTGGATATTAGAAAAATGTTGAAGATTACAATAAAGAGGCAAAGTGGGGTTGAGTGAGAGAAGAGCTGGACCTTTTGTGACAAGTAGTAGAGAGTTTGTATGTTATCATATGTAACATGGATTTATTTGCACATGTAATGGCAACCTTCTTAGAACTCGCGTCCCCAAATAGCTTATATTTTCTGACTGAATTGATAATATATAGCTATTTCCTTATTTTGAACTTTGGCCTCTTTCAAAGTTTAAAAATAGGTAAGGGGAATGTCTGTCCAAATCTAAACTGGAAAGAGATACAGTTGGTGGATTTTCACTAATCATTATTACAAGCTATTGGAATGCTTATCAGGTAACAATTGTCCACAGGATTAGAATTACCAGTATTAAGTGTGAATCTTTTCTATTAAGTAGATTTTTGCATCAGAAATGAGCATCATGTGTTCCAGGATTCTATTGCTCCCGTAATCTTTATAAAAACAAAAATGACAAAGCAGACATTAATCTACAAGACTTGTACAATCTGTTAGCCTTATAAAATTGCCACAAATTCTTGTTCTCTGCGGGTAATTCTTACTATGTTCTACTACTGCCACAAGTAAATATAATTCAGATGATTTTTTTCCCTGATGTTGTTAACAGCAGTATTTGTAATTTGTTGTATCAATGTGGTGATTTGCTGGAGTTTGTAAAATGGGTTGTGTTTGTACAGAATTACAGATCAATGATAGATGAGATTATTCACACATTTTTTTCATCTTCTCAGTCCATGTGTACACAGCAGTTATTTGGTGTAGAATAGTTACATACTTACATTGACCATTACACATATTGTCAAAACAGCCAATAAAATGAATCTTTTTGTTCTTGACACAATGTGAGATGTTAAATGTTGAAGATTTATAAGCCAGAAACAATGCTAGAAATGTACTTTCTTACAGAAAGACTTCCATTGACCAGGTGATTTTTTTTAGCTGAAGACTAATGAAAGCATTGGCATTATATTTAAAATGAAAGAAATGTTGAGCCTTTAATTGTGCTGTCTTAAAATTATTTTGTTTACAAGTGGAAGAGAAGGCAATGGCAAGCTATTTCTAGATTGTTACCAAGAAACTATGTGAACATGAAATCATCAGGAGTCAAGCTCAACCTCAAGGATACTGTTTTTTGTTCAGTTGAATTAAATGTAATAAAATATTTTTTTCTCAAAAAGTATTTGCTTTTTTTTTGATTAAGGCATTAAAATTGTCATTTCAGAACATCTAACTCATATTTGTCAGAAAGCAAAGAATATTTGAGTTCTTTGTTATTCTGGAAAGGTCCATGAAGATTGCTAGGTGACTGCAAGAATTTTTAGTTTTTAAATTATTTACACAAGTTGACATTTATGTGTATATGCATATGTAATGCTGTTCTTACCTTTTACAGTGGATCGGCTGATCAGAGAAAATAGCCACATCTTCACCGACACCCAGTGCAAAGTATGTAGCGCGGTGCTCATCTCTGAATCTCAGAAGCTTGCTCATTATCAGGTGTGGTTTAAACTAGAGGTAGCTGTTGAAATTGCGGATATGTGTATAAAAGATTCGTAGGTGTGCTTAGCGTTCTTGTCCTCTGTTATCTTCCTTCAGAGTAAGAAGCATGCAAACAAAGTTCGGAGATACATGACTATCCATGGGGAAGAGGAATTCAGTCAGAATAAAAAAATAAAGCTGGAAACAGAGCAGGTAATGTAAGAACTCCAAAGAAGAATAAGCACATTGTACATTTATTTTTATAGAAAATTGTCAGGTGCGTTCGGTACAGCAAGTCTTGGCCAATAATATAATGTTCCAGAGAGAAATTTTGGCATTGGGCATTGTTGCAAAAACATTTAATCCTGTCTTCAGTGAAGATAAATTTAAAAAACTTATTAGAAGATTACAATTCAGAGACAATTGTGAATTAATATTGCTACAGAAACATAATAAACCTATTTTCAACTAGAGCTCTCTCTTGTTGCATCAATTTGTTTGATGATAAGAGCCTACTAGTAAATTATTTCCATTTTACAACGTATTAGGTCCTTGAATAATTCTGTGCTAATTTCACTCTCTGCTTTAAAGAAAGAGGACAATATTTAGTAAAAGAGTGGTGTGAACCCATGCTAACAGTTTCATTTAAGTTCCAGTTTTTGAACATGGGACATTTTGATATGCTTTCTTTTTGTCCCTTCAATCCCAATAAATGTCTGTGTTCCTTTTTACAAGCAACAGAGCAGTAACGGTGAAGACAGGAACAAATGCTGCCCCATCTGTAACATGACCTTTTCTTCACCTGTTGTGGCTAATTCTCACTACTTAGGCAAGACTCATGCCAAGAATTTGAAACTGAAGCTGCAGTCTCCTAATACAGAAGGTATGATCAGGAAGGTACAGAGGAGTTTTCTCCTGGCATTGTGGGAAAAAAACCTCTCATCAGAATAGTCTAGGGTTTATATACTTTATAGTACAAACCCTATCCAGCAGTCCCTGTCCTCTACATAATAAGGTTCAAGAGCATATATATATTAAGTTGAGAGTTTGCACACTGATGTCCCAAGTCTGATGACTGATAACAATGGTAAAATGCCTGAGAGATAGAAGCACAAAAAATACATATCCTTGATCATTTTGCTATTTCAGATTATTTGTTTTGTAACCCGTATATGTGTGCATGTGCTAAGAACATTTAACCTTTATGCAAAATAAGAATGGAAATGTCTGGCCTTGTGAGGATATTGTGGTTCTGGTTTTGTGAAAATATGCTTTTATTTTTCCTCTTAATTTTTTTTTATCTTTTGAATTATATTTGCAACAGTTTTACCCATTCAGAAAGAGCCTACTAATCTTCTTCCCACTACCGGGTCCTCTAATGAAGAGAATCAAAACACTTCTGACCCAGACAAATTCTGCAATCTCTGCCATGCTACATTCAATAATCCACTGATAGCAAAACAACACTATGTTGGCAAGAAACACAAAAAGCAGGAAACCAAGCTTAAGCTGATGGCACACTATGGGAGAACTCCCGAGGAACCAGCTGTCTCCAGTGGTAAGTGTTTTATAGAAGGCTTTCAGAATAAAGAACAGAATCCGTTGTACATGTTGATAATGCCATAACTAACCATTTGTTTTTAATGTCTTACGTGATAGTGGGCTACTTCACTTTTGTTACAGATAGTCCTCAACTTAGGAGCCCAACATTTCTGTTGCTAAGCGAGACATTTGTTAAGTGAATGTTGCTCCATTTTACGACCTTCCTTGCACAATTGTTAAGTGAATCACTGAGTCAGTTGCCAAGAGTCTGACATTTGATCACCTGATCAGTGGGGATGCTAGAATGGCCCTATGTGTGAAAAACGGTCATAAGTCACTTTTTTCAGTGCCGTTGTAACTTCAAATGATCACTAAATGAACTGTTGTAAGTCGAAGACTGCCTGTATTATGTAATTGGAAACAAAATATACTCTTATATTCTGCACAGTGGGTGTGTTCATGTACAGAGTGATTAGGTTGGAACTGTTTCTTTAAAATGAGGAGAGAATTAGACGAGGCATCCTGAAAATTCTGGGCTTGGGAAAAGAAGCTTCTCTGTTTCTCACAAATGCCTTTAAAATTCTCCCAAATCTAGTTGGATACTAAAAGGAGAGCAAGAGGACTGAGGCCAATGCTAAGAGAGAACGGTGGGCGGGGGAATTTCTACATCTCATTTTTAATTTTTCATGAGCTGCAAAAATATGGCTTCAGTGTTTATAGTGCTACAATCTAGTGTGGAAGGTTTTTGTTAGGAAGAAAATGAAGAGGAATGTACATGCAATGTATCCAAAAAGAATAAATAAAAAGTGGGAAATTTTAAATGTTGACAGTGATACAAATGATCCATACCATTACTGTAAGTAGAAAGCATGTCAAAATAAGGATAACATTTGGTAGTTCAGAGGTAAACTAGAATTCATAATTAAGCAAAATGATTCATGAAGATGTAAGTAAAATAAAATGAGTATATGAAGAATTAACAGTTGTCAAAATACACTTTTTAAAAACAAATTACAGAACTTGTCAGTAATTTGGATAGGAAATTCTTGGCAGCCACATGAGACTACAATTTTTAAAACTATCAATATAAAAACAGAGTGTCCTGATAGTCTGCCCAGGTGACGGCTTAAATCAAAATGAATAGGAAAATCACACATGTACCAGAAAGATAGACCTCTCAAAATTATATCAAATTGGTAAAAATATCTTTTTAAAGAAATATTTAAAAATAACTATGGCAAATAAAACAATAATTTGTGGAATGGAGCTTCAATCTAATCTAAGCCTAGCATTTAATTCTGTAATTTGGAGGATTCTTCCAAAAGATTTTCTCTAGCCTTCTATTAACCGTCGACTTAACCGTCGATTACAATACTGAAGGTTCATAAGGAACTTACCTAGACACACAACTCCCTTCAGCTGTATGCTTCTCTGTTCCTCCCTTTACAGAGGTTCTGGAATGATTCTCATCTATCCCATCCTGAAATATTTCCAGGCAGAGAGATTAACTTCCATTTGTTGCTCCTCTTATCTGATAAGAACCCAGGTTGCCCAGTTTTGTGTCTCTGTATGTGCTGTTTATCTTACTTCAAGTTGAAGATTCTGATTCATTTATTTGTATTCCTGCAACTCCCTACTTGCTTTGCAGAGATCTGTGATAGAATTATCATCCTAATTACCCATTAAGTGTTTGTTTTTACAAGTAATCCTTGACCTACAACTACTCAATCTTGTGAGTGCCAATAATACCACAAACATCTTCTTCCCAAATATTTATCTTCATTTATCCCTTTTTTTAAGTATAGATAACCCTCAAGTTATGATGGCAGTGAATTTCTGTCATTGAATGATGTGGTTATAAAGCAACATGATCACATTGCTTGAGAACAGCAATCCTGGATGGATGGATGGATGGATGGATGGATGGATGGATGGATGGATGGATGGATGGATGGATTAAAATACTAGATAGCAAACATTACCTTGTGCTTCCATAACAATTTGCCAGGCAGACACTGATTCATTTCATAACTAATATATCTATCTTACTACTCTAATCTTGAAATCCTCCAAGGAAAAAGTCAAATACAAATTGATGGCTTAAATCTTATTTTCTTTTTTCCCAAAATTCAAAATGTGTTTTCTCAGTAAAAGGAATGAACAGTTGTTGAAACTTGTTGAAATAATAATGAATTCCTTTAATTATTTTTTTCACAAAATTTATCATAATTTTATTATTTTTCTTTCTGCCTTCAAATGATTTATTTTCTTGTAGCTTTCCTAGAGGTTTTCTGGTCTCTCACTTTTCTAGAATATTTGATATCCAAAATTAGAAAATTTCTAATCCTTTCTAGGCATGAATAGCAGAATAAATAAGAGCATCGCTATTTTTAAATATTCATTTTGAATAACTAAACAGGTTCATTGCAAGGGGTGGTGCATATGTCTGTCCACATGGCCTGTTACCTGTTAGTTGAAAAGATACCTATTAGATCAGGAGTGTCAAACAGCCAACCCACAGGCCGGATGCATTATGCTGAAACCGTGCCCACCCCAGCTCCGGCAATGGGGGAATAGTCGTGATATATCGTGACACATCATGTGACGTGGCGAGTTTGACAGCCCTGTATTAGATAGATTTATAATTAGATGTTACTGGAGTTCACAGGAGGGGAAATTGCAACCAAAAGGAGCATTATTTAAAGGCTTCCATAATGAGAATTTTACAATTGTCTAATCTGCAACTTCCATCCTGTTGATTTTCAAAATGGTTGGTCTTGTTAGTTATAAGGAATCATTCAGAAATATAGCACATTGTAATGATTTTAGTAGATGTTTTAAGAATCAACATTTTCTCTGTTCCGCTGTTGCCATTCTTCATTCTTTTCCTCTGGAATGGGAAGAGGACCTTTACATATTTCTTGCCTTTAAAATTATTATAATTCTCAGGGAATCTAACAGATGTGTCTTTTTTTGGCCTTTTTCAAACATTCAGTAAAAACTACATGACAAAATATTCATTTGAATATGTTGCTTGCAATTCTTACTAAGAAAAATATTTCTAACATAACCAGAAACAGATGAATTAAAAAATATAATATTAAAATTTGGAATAGTGTTTTTGTGTCACATTTCATTTAACAGTTTTTTTTTTAACAACAACAAATGTTCGCTTTCCTTCTGGTATAGTTTAAGTATCTGAGAATGAGAGTAATGCAAAAAAAATAGCTCTGCAGCAGGAGTTCTAGTTTTCGTAAAGAATCGTGCTTTAGGAGATCCGCGATCAGTACTCCCATTATTATTATTTTTTAATACCATTGCAATTATGGTGGGCTCCGAGCTTTATGAGAGCAGCTCTTTGAAAGACAGTAATGTTAATCTCCTCTCAGATGCCTTTTTCCAGATTGAACACACCCATGTACACCGCGGTAACAATTCTTTTGTTTGTTTAAAAACATACATTTAAATCCTGAAAACAGTCCAGCATTAATGTTCCAATTAAGTTTTGAACTCTATGCAGATGCTATAATTAAAAAATAGGAAAGTTGGATATATGACCAGAAATCTGCTCTGCTTTGTAAATTAAACTGGCAATGACTGTGACACTGCTTAGAATTCCTAGCATCACAGTATATAGAGTCATTGTAAATGTCTCTTTACGGTTAATTATATCGATCTGGCTCTTTAATTCAGTTAATTTGATGCTCAAATTTTATGACATTTTCAGCTGGAAAGGGATATCCCTGCAATGACTGTAACATAGTACTGAATTCTATAGAGCAATATCAAGCTCACATCAGTGGCTTCAAACACAAGAACCAGTAAGTGCTTTATTTTTTTTTTAATCTAAAATAATTGATGTAATTTTCAGATGTGATCACTGAATTGTGTTATGTATGGTGGTAACACTTAGTGGTAATAAAGGTTATGCATCCCTTTATTAAATTGAATTAATATGCTTTCCTTTTATAAGGCCACACAGTTGAATATTCCTAAAAAGAGCTGCTGTGGTTCCCATCCTCAAAAAGGAAAAAAAGAGACCCAGGAAACTACAGACCAATCAGCCTAATATCAACACCTGGGAAGAAAGTGGGGAAAAAAATAAAAAATGTATCTGTGAACATCTAGAAACAAATAAAGTTATAACTAGTAGCAAGCACGGGTTTGTTAAAAACACATCACGCCAAACCAATTTTATTTCATTCTTTGACAAAGTGACTAAATTAGTAGACCAGTGAAATGCTGTGGATATAGTATATTTAGACTTCATCAAAGCATTTGACAAAGTAGACCACAATTTACGTCTTGGTAAGCTAGAAAAATGTGGGATAGACAGCATCACCACCAGATGGATTTGTAACTGGTTGACAAACGTACTCAACGAATAGTTCTTAACGGTACTACATGTACATGGAAGGAAGGAAGCAGTGGGTACCACAAGGTTCCGTCTTCGGCCCACTACTCTACAAATGACTTAGCTGAGGGAATAGAAGAAGAACTCATCAAATTTGCAGATGACACTAAACTGGCAGGAATAGCCAACACCTCAGAAGACAAGCTCAGGATCCAAAAAAGATCTTGACAAACTTGAAGAATAGGCCCTAGCCAACAAAATGAAATTTAATGTGGAGAAAAGCAAGGTTTTACACCTGAGCAGGAAAAACCAAAGGTACAAGTACATATTAGGTGAAACCTGGCTCAAAAATAGTAACTGTGAGAGGCATCTTGGAGCCCTAGTGGACAATCACTTAAATATGAGTCAGCAGTGTGCAGCAGTAGCCCAAAAAGCTAATACAATCCTTGGTTGTATAATCAGAGGCATAGAATCAAAATCACATGGAATATTAGTATCACTTTATAAAACTTTCGTAAGACCACACATGGAATACCGCATCCAGCTTTGGTTACCACATTGCAAAAAAGATGTTGAGACTCTGGAAAAAGTGCAAAGAAAGGCAACTAAGGTGATCAAAGGCCTGGAGACTAAAACATATGAAGAACGGCTGCAGAACCTGGGTTTGGCTAGTCTAAAGAAAAGAAGAAACAAGGGCGATATGATAGCAGTATTCCAGTATTTGAGGGGCTGCCACAAAGAAGATGGCGTCAAACTATTCTTCAAACACCAGAAGGCAAGACAAGAATCAATGGTTGGAAACTGACCAAAGAGAGAAGCAACCTGGAATTAAGGAGAAACTTCCTATCAGTGAGGACAATTAACCAGTGGAACAGCTTGCCTACAGAAATCGTGGGCGCTCCATCACTGGAGGTTTTTAAGAAGAGACTGGACAGTCACTTGTCTGAAATGGTATAGGATCTCTTGCTTGAGCTGGGGGCTGGACTAGAAGACCTCCAAGGTCCCTTTCAGCTCTATTGTGATTCTGATAATTCATTACATTCAGCATTAAACAGATATTTCTTTATTCCCTGAATTGAATTTCTGTTGTCACACCATCCTTTTTGCCTGCTCCAAATTTGCTCCCAATGCTCTGGAACAAATGTAAGCATAGGAATGGCGATACTATTAATCCAGCCAGAGTAGAGATAGTGTAGTCCTCGCTCACTAACCCTGAGACTAGCAACTCAGCCAAGTGAAGAGGTCGCTAAATGGGAATTCATGGGGCTGTGACTGTGCTTTCTGGATTGAAGGAGATAAGACTACATAAGCTCACGCCTTTGGCCTTTGCTTGCCTCCTAACCACTCCTCTGCCCTTTGGGATGCTTGAATGTTGCTTGCTGTCTTACTGTACCTGGCCAATCATGCACCCTGCCCATGTGGCAGCAGCTATCCCAAGTCCCATTGCATTCACGTCATACCTCCTCTGCTGCTCGTGCAGCCCTCCCAAGCTTCACACTTGCACTGTCTCGCCGAACATTTGCGCACTGTTCCCATCCAGGAGCAGTCACCCCAAGCCCTGCTGCACTTGCTCTGTGCCTCCCCCACCATTCTTGTAACCTTGTGCAGCCTCTCTGAGCCTCATACTCATGCCACATCTCACCAGCCACCCATGAACCTCTCGCTTCCTCTCCCACTGGGCAGCAGCCATTTATTTGCCTGCTAGCCTGCTTGTGAGCTGCTTGGGACTTGAAGTTTCCTGCTGGCTTCCCCATTTTCTTATAAGTTGTTGGAAGCCAGTAGAGACTTTTGAAGAGGTGCTCACAACAACAGTAACAGCAATTGCAGGGATTGCTGTTGCTGAGCAATGCAGTCACATGATGTCACACATTATAACTGCATTGCTCAATGGTTGAATTTTTGGTCCCAATTGCCATTGTAAATCAAGGACTACTTGTAAAGTAGAGAAACTTCTATTGTTAAAGAACTCAGGCCTGTGTGGAAACACACTGTATGAATTTGTAAATCATAAATGTCTTCAGTTTCCTTGAGTGAATCAGTTTTTAGTCATCTGAAGTCAGTTGTCTCAGAGCAAATCAGTTGAATAGTTTTGGTCTTTTAATTGTACCTGCTAATGGAAGAGCTTCTTATTTGGACAGAAATTTTTTTAGAATACTTCACATAGAACCAGACAAATAATAACATTAATTAATGGCAAGTTGCTTAATTGAGGAAATCACATTTTATGAAATCTGTGTTGGTGTGAAACCTAATTGGAGAAAAAACCTTTTCAAAGAACCATAAACTGCATGTTCCTATTTGGATCCCCATAACTCCTTTCTATTGTGCCGCTGAAATTTGGCAGTTTCCCACTAGAAACCAACTGCATATGCCTTTTTCATTGTTTTTAGGCTTGCTGATTAAGCAATAAAAAGATTTGTTAAATATAAAAACCACTTTCCTGAAAAGGCCAGAAATTCTATTTTTGGTCAGTTACGTGGCACGGTGTAGCTATTTCACATCATTATTGAAGTTCTTATGCCAAAAAATAGTTTCAGGACAGAATAAGTACACAAAGATTGTTCACCCTGATATAGAAAATGCTGCTCAGGAAAGTGTCCTATTGCGTTTTCTGGCTGTAGAGAGCAAGAAATTCTTTCTGTCCTAACATAGATCACATTGTTATTATTTATTATCTTTTTTGTTGGTTTACCCAAATTACTAATTTACTCCGTTAATTCCATAATTTATTGCACAGTACAATTGGTTTTAGGTAAACTGATATAAAATAGTTCATCAACTAAGTGATTGCTGAGTGCTGGTAATGCAGCAATCTGCCAAATTTATAAGCCTGTGGCAATTGTTCAGCTTTGCTGACAAATCCTGTCCTCTAAATATCAAGCTGTTACATGCAAAGTTAAAGTTTCTGGTTATAGCTTTAGTTGTGTTGAAGAAGAGACTTTCTGCCAAAAGTTCCCAATATTCCTTCTTAGGTAATATGCTCTTTTTATCACAAACTCCAACTTATAATATATAGAACAATTTTTTAACATGAAATTGCATGTGCTCTTTTGAAGTGGCTCCTTCTGGAATCTTGTGAGATTTTTCAATATCTTTTTGTTCTTGATTTAAGCTTCCAGTAGGTAGATATATATACAACTAATGTTGTTCCTTCCCTGTCTCGCTCCCCAGCATACCAGGAGGCATTCCTGTTACAGCACGATACCAGAAACAACTGTACACACAAGAGGAAACCACTGGCCCTGATGGCTACAGCTATTTCAGCCAGGACCTCTAGAGCAAATTGCTGTGCTGTCTCTGGATTGCTCGTGGCTCAAAAGTGAACCCTTTTGCCATCCTGCTACGATATTACAGTTCCGCTGACTAAATGAAATCCTCCTGGTCTGCAGTGTACAGGTTTAGCTGATCCAGAACCAACTATTGGCTAAAGGATTTAGAAGGGACATCATTACTACTTGGCATTTGCTCAGTCCTTTAGAGTAGTTTTCATTGTGTAATCTCTTACTGTAATAGCAGATGGGGGCGGGTGGGATACGGGGTTCTCTCTGGCCCCACCAAGGCTTGGCATTTGCTGGGATTCCATCTTGAGCCCATCCTTTCCTTCTGCCTAGAAGAAGCAGAAGGAAGTCCTACACACAGGAATAGAGTGAGATCAACCTTAGGAAGAAAGCTCTTTAATTCAGGGTAACATAAGGCTTGTTATCTATGAGATGTGGAATGGGTGTAATGGACGGACTAATTATCCTTGCTTAGAATGAGGTGTTACATTGCTGTATTCATCTTGTCCCTGCTGGAATTAATAGGGTTTGTGTGCAGTTTCTTAAGTCACCCATTTTGCCATTCAAAACTACTTTGTATTTCAGCAGATGTTGGCTTTGAAGCAACTGGTGGTCTGTCTGGTAAAGTTTTTGTTTTGTTTTGTTTTGTTTTGTTAATAGTGTGCATAATCAACTTCAGAAACACAAGAAGGAGGGGGCTCTGGTACAACTAGTGGTGCCTCCCTAAAGCTGCATTCTTTCTGTTCCTGGCATTCTTCTAGAAACTGTATTGTGTTTAAACCTATCTGTATCTCAAGTTTTTTATGTTAAAATGTTAATGAGAAATTATTTCATGTGGTGATGGAGGCTCTTGATTTTTGTTCTTTAAGTCATTCTAACAGACAGAAATAAATTGAGAGAATCCAGAAACTGCATTTTGACTCTCTGGTAGAAGTGGTGTTTGTAGGGAACCTTCCCTGAGGCATACTTTATTTTTGGCAGTGTCAGCTCTCTTATTTCTTACCTTTGTAAATTCAGTAACCGTCCTGAAGCTTAGATATTGGATAATGTGTTTTAGAGGCATCTGTTCTCTAAGATTTCTGTTGTCTTCTTGCTGATAAATTTCTAAAACATAGGAGGGAATTCTACTTAAGCTGATTTGGTTGCATGTTTTCTTTAGAAAAGAAAAAGTATAATCAGTTCTGCTAATATTAGATTAATTTTTTCCCTCTGCATGTAAAAATGGAGAATTGTCAATATCCAAGTCTGTTAAAGTAGAGTATCAAAAGATAGTCGCCACTTTATGTACCCCATCTTTAAAACTATTTCCGTTTAAAGCCAGCTAACAAATGTTCTGCTTCAAATGAAGCAGCATTTCATAAGACTTGCTGACAATTTAGAAGTCCTTTGCTCAATGGCTTGTTTAATCTGCAGTCTTCATAATGAACAGGAACACCATGTCCTTTCTAGGCAACTCATTTCTAAGTCTTGAATAGTTTTTCCTATTATCACTTAAGCTTCCTAAATTAAACTAGTTGGCAGGAATTTGGTATGAAAACTGGGGTGTAGTATCTTCTATTTTATGTAGTGACAGGTCATGTGAATTTGCATCCCCTTCTAATTGAGTGAGAGTATTGCCTGGCATTTTTGTCTTTTTGGATAGCCTCTATTTCCATCTGCATTATTTGTGCGATTGAAATACATGAATGTTGCTCCCTTATTTATGTTCTCTGGCATATATCTGTGTTAATATGTGTGTGTGCACACATTTCCTTTTAGCGTATTGATTTTTTAAAAAATTAAAAGAATCTTATCTTTGTGTCTCTACTTCTCCAGCTGAACTATTACGGTAAGGCTCAAAGTATACCAGAAAAAACTTTTTTTCTATAATGATTTATTTCCACTGATTATCATTTCTGGCAAACCTCTTTTGCTGTTTATTATTCTCCACCATTTTTGCCCAATTCAAGCAAAGATTAGTTTTAGAACTCTGTTTACATTCATGATTTCTTATTTACTTAATGGGGTTAAGTATTCTGAGGTTGCATCTCATTATTTCCAGTAAATTCAGAAGTGAGCCTTCCTTTTTTCCCTCAAAATATAGTTTCTTTACAAGAAAAAAGGAGTAATAGGATTTAAGTAATTTTGTGTGTGATCTAGGATAAATATATATACATAGACACTTTCTCATGACAGTTTTCTTGTGAATAATCCTTCAAATATTATCTTCTGACTTTTGGTGGTTATATGTACATTAACAATTTGTTTCTTTCTCAGCATTTAAGTTTTCTGTTTTGGCATTCTCGTTCTCCAGCATCTTGTGCACTATTTGAGACATGGTCTGTGATATGCTTAGTGAGCTTTCATACTCTACACTGTAAAACTTTGGAGACTATGGTTGCCTGTATGAAATTCTGACTTTAGAATTTTATTTCTAATGCATATTGAATTATTGAATTATTTTGCAGTTGCTAAGTGTTGATAATTTTGGCAAATGCAAGGATGAATAAGTAGTCTGTTACCTCAATAAAGTGATTAATATTTTGGTTCAGACTAAATACAAATGGGACATTCGCAATTAACCTTTTGCCTATTTTCTCTTTTTTAAATAGCCAGGCATCCTCTTCCTTATTTTAGAGATTAAAGAATTGTTTTTGTATTCATAGCAAGTATATGTGTTGCTTGTGTAATATTTGTACTTTGGAAAAATTACTCACATCAAGAGTTGGGTTTCAAAAATCACAATTCTGCACATATATCAAATATTGCAATATGGGAATCTATATCATAACTATCATAAATTTAGAATTTTTAGGAAAAGTGTTGGGGCAGAGGCTTGTGACAGGCTTAATTCTTATATTTAGACCAAAAATCTTAAGCATGCACACAGACCTAAGTACCATCTTCTACCATTTTTAATATAGCACTAAGCATATATTTATTGCTCTGAACAATGTGTATATAGTGTTATGGTAAGAGTAGATTCCTGTTTTATTCGTTCATTTCAGTGAATAATTTTGAAAAATTGGGGATAGTATGAAATAAAGATATAGATGCCTATGGGGATTTTCAGTCATCCAGGTCATAGTTATCTCAAAGGTGCTTTTTCACAAGGCAACTGGACTTTGTTCTTTGAAGATGTTTCGCTTCTCATCCAAGAATCTTCTTCAGCTCTGACTGGATGGTGGGGAAGGACATTCGTAACATTGAAGTTTACAGAAAACCACCACACACGGATCAATATTTACCTTTTGATTCTCACCACCCACTGGAGCACAAAATGGGACTTATCAGAACCCTACACCACCAAGCTGAAGGCCTGCCTACCAGCAAAGATGGGAAAGAAAAAGAACTAAAACACATCAAGGAAGCCCTCAGAATGCATGGCTATCCCAAGTGGACCTTCATCAAATCCCAAAAAAGACCCGGCAGGAGCTGCTCCATAACAGACAAAGAAGAAAACAATAAATGAAGCAATGTAGCTATTCCAAATATTGCAGGAATATTGGAAAAGCTCAGAAGGGACTTCCAGTGTTGTGCCTGTAGCGCATGGCCGTGCGAGAGCAGATCTCCGCTCCCCACGGCTTGTTTCGCCCTGCCAGGGGGACCCTATATGGGTCCAAAGTCGCTCCGAATAGGTGACCATGAAGGAGGGGCATGCCGTTGATCACGAAGCGACAGCAATCGCTTCGTTTGATCCGGGGAAAGCCCTCCAAATCCGACAGGCGAAAGGCTAGCTCTTTGCTAGCGTCTAGCCCAAGCTACCTGCAGCGGAGAAGTCCAGGAGCACTAACAAGAATAACGGTGAACAGTGTGCTTGGAATTGGTGAGAGTATTTGATCTTCTCTCCCTTATTTTGCAAGTAAGTCCCTGGGAAAGATCCCCAAAGCAAAAAACCTCCGAAGGTGAGGGGAGTGGATTACATTCCCATTCCCCCATTGACAGAAGCGGCGAATTAATCTTTAAGGAGGAAAGAAACATATTGAAATTAAATTTAAAACACTACAATCTGATCAAACTTAGAAACTAAAACAAACTGCTAAGATTATATTCTAAAGGATTTTAATGAAATTATATATATATAAAGAAAAATAATAAGAACTTCTTGCCTGAAAGAGCTGCAAAACAAATATTTGCTGATATCTAGTGGACAACTAGAATATAGCACATTAAAGACAATACCCAGAAACAAAGAAAAATCTATTCCCATGAACTATAATAACCTTTAAGAAGATAGTTGCCGGGGTCAAAGAAGAGATTGTATACTGGGTCAGCCATAAAATTGAAAAGTGTTTGAAAGAAAAGAAATATTTTGATTGTGGACTAAACTTATGCATTGTTTAAAAACTTTGATCTATGACTAAGCTTTGAGAGAGAAAGTTACAGGAAGGATTTAAGGTGGCTAAATATATTGAATTGCAATTCTGACTGGTTGACAATTGACAATTGACTCCTGAAAGAAAGAATTGTTATAAAACCTTGAAAATTGAAAATTACAGTGGATTATAAAAATTATACATAAAGACAAGAATTATATAAAATTGGACTGTTTGGATTTTGAGTTTTGGCCAGCTTGACAAGGCTAATTACAGAGACTATGGCACTTATGACGGACTACTCGAAAGGGGGAGACAACATGGATATGACATATTCATTAAAAAATGATAGAAAGCGACACTTAATATCTACTCTTGAAGGATTCAACTGGAAAGATCAAAGATCTCTAGAAGCAAAATTTCAAGACAAGACAAATACTTTCCAAAAAGAAAGTTATGCAATGCTATGACAAATACAAATCACAATAGCTCTAAATCATGAGGAGATTAAATATAACTTAGATAACATAAAGGAATATGTTATCTAATTTAAATTTACAATCAAAAAACATTCAAAGAATGATGGTAAAGAATGAACAAACAAATCATATAACAGAATGTGAACTAGAAAAAAGGACTTAATTGGTGAAGTCACAAATGAAGGGAACTATAACTTAATACAAACAAGAAAAACTTCACAAGATTTGGATACAACAATAAATATGGAAAAGATACTTTATGCATTAGAATGTCAAAATAAACCTGAGAAGAAAGAAGACTTAACAAAATGGGCACTGCTAGGAGAATAACTGGGAGTCAAAAAGCATAATCTTATGTATTATGTATCCTCTACGCCTAACAACAACTACAAAAATACAAGAACTGTTTGACAAGTCGAAAATATTAATTTGGAAAACAATTTGGCAAAGGAAGATTAGAGACGGACTTAAGAGACTTGACTCACCCTACCAGATGGAATAATATATGAGCAAACACTTGTTTGAATATGGCTAAATAAACAAATAACTTTGGCTATAAAGGGACTTTAGAATAAATGTGATAAGAGTTATAAGTAATATGGTATTTTTTGATAAGACACAAAATTTAAAAATATTGGAATGATGAAAGTGAAGGAAAGTTTGAATTTTAAAGACAAATTAAGTTTGAAAAGATTTAGGATTAAGGAATGACTGAAATAGTATGGGGAAATTAGGCTTAATAAGAATTTTGAAAAAGGATATATAGTGATTTAATTAATGTTTACAAATAGAAGTAAAATATAAATTGATTAGAAAAGATGTTATAGGTAGATATTATGATAGATAAGTAGTATAGTATTTCTATAATATATGAAATATGAAAATACTGGATATTTAGGTGTTAATTATTGAGAAAATTGTGATTGGTAAGAATTGTTTGAATATTATGGAGAAATTGAGTTTAAACAAGATTTATGAAAATAAGATATATGATGAATTAATAAGATGACTTTTACGAGCAGAACAAGTTAATAAGAAAAAAAATATTATATATGGACGCTATTGTTGGTATAAATATAAAATAAAATATTTTATTTAATCATTTATATATTGTTAATATTAAATATCAAAAATTATATTTGTTTAATGCTGAAGAAGGAGAATACTATTGGGAGAAGAGAGGATCAAGGAAATATATTACCAGTTGATATACTAATTATGGAAATATAAAAATTATTATTGACTGTTAATTAACTATTATTGATTGTAAAAAAAAAATCATGAACCAAGACAACACGCTGTACACCAGGCGCTAAGGTTGTTATTGTAAAAAATTAATAAAACTTTTCCAAAATAAGCAAAAGCTCAGGAGGGTCTTCAGCCAACACAAGAAACCCAAAAATTCACTAAGGCAGAAGCTTGTCCACCCCAAAGATAAAACACCCAGACACAAACTGAGCAACGTGGTATATGCAGTACAATGCAGTGAGCCATGTGCAGATCTGTATATTGGAGAAGCAAAACAACCACTTCATAAACACATGGCACAACATAGGAGAACAAACCCATCAGGACAAGATCCAGCAGTCCATCTGCATTTAAAAGACAAAGGCCACTCTTTCGAAAACAGCAAAGTCCACATTTTGGACAGAGAGGACCACTGGTTTGAAAGGGGTCAAAGAGGCCATTTATGTCAAAACTGAACAGCCCTCTCTACAACGCAGTCCTTTAAACAGTTCCAAGAAGGCTCCACACCCATTTGCACCACTCAGGTGACCCCGACGACACAGATAAACTTCCAGGTGGCCTCAACGACTCTCTAAAAGAATGCAAAAGACCAGCTGTTTTGCAAGGAGTATAAATCCTTCCATTCCCCACCATCCAGTCAGAACTGAAGAAGCTTCTTGGATGAGAAGTGAAACATCTTCAAAGAAAAACAAGGAAGTCCGGTTGCCTCATGAAAAAGCACCTTTGAGAAAGATATAGATGTGTACTCAATTGGAAATATGCGTTGTTAGAATTGTATTTTACTGCGTAAGCTTAGCAGTGTAGAATATCATTGCTTGCCAAACTTATGAAAAATTAATTTCATCCTGTCAAATAGCATCTTACCTATAATAATCTAGATGATAAATACAGTGGGTAAAATTAATTTAGGAAACTGAAGTATTCCTTCATAATCTGTGAATGCAGAATTAATTTTTAAAATTAATGTTTTTCTGAAGACCTCCCATTCAGAAGGTTGAGGGTTCAGTTGTGGGCAGTGACAGATGTTTTTCAGGGCACAAAGAAAAAATATCTGCTGCGAGCTCCGCGTAGGTGTCAGGAAGGGCATCCAGCCAATAAACGCTTAGCTCCATTCAGTCACCCTGACTCCATCCCAAAGCAAGGGATTACAAGATCATAAAAAGAAAAAAAACGTTTTTCTTAATTATTGTGTAGCAGAATCAGAATCATGAAACCTTGTAAATAGCTGGTCAGGCTTATAGTGAGTGTTGTATGTGAAAGAATGATGCATACAGTCAGTCTGCTCTTTTCAATTAGGCAAATGGGCCCTCCATCTGATGAATTAATTCTCCTTTATAAGCATCATTAGAATTTGAGCCATTCCTTTTTTATCATGGTAATTATTAGATCCATATATTAGGAAAGAAGTCATATATTTTACTAGCTTTATAAAAGATGTTCTAGTTCAGTTATGGCTGCCTACAATTCATAGGATTGGTGGCAGACATGATAGATCATCCCATTTTTTGTGAATTACTCTTATCTTAGGAACATTTCCTA